GCGAGCAGGCGGCCCACGAGCTCCAGGAGCCCCAGGCGCCGTCGATGGCCTCCGGACGGTAGCCCACGGGCACGCACTCGCCGTTGAAGCACCACTGCGAAGGGACGGGGAGGAAGAGGAGAAAACGAGGGTTTAGGAGGAGCAGTAAATGGTGTGGAGTCAGAGAGCCCGGCCGCGGGGTGTTGCCCTGGGAAAAATCCAGGTTTTGCTCGCACAGAGGTGCCTGGGGCTCTGCCAGAGCCCAGTGAGCAATGGGAAACTCAGAGGTGTTGGGCTAGTTGAGGATTTGTCCGAGGCACTGTACCCCATCTTCCACTGAGAGCCTTCAGCAAAGGGATTCACAGCCCAATCCTGGCCCAGAGGGTAGAGCCAGTGGGGACAAAGGCACAGGGAGAGGTTCTGCAGGGAACAGTAGCTAAGCACAGGGTCACCCCTCTGGGAGCAGGGCTTCGTGAAGAGACACTGAACCCAATGAGGAGAAATGTCTACAGATAGTTTTATAAATCCATAGTTTTATGGAGTTGGGCAGGAAAACCCTGTTCTGGAACAGTGATGTGTGATGGCCCTGCCCATCCCATAGTACAGGAGCTGGCATCACCCACACAGGGGTGACTGGTGCTGGCTGAAAAGAGCTGGTCCCCCATGCACCCCGTGCCTGGTGTGGCACCCATGGAGCAGAACAAGCCTTGTGCTCCCCTGCTACAAGAATTAACTGTGGGTTTCACCTTCTTAAGGCATTCTCAGCCCCGCCCAAGTCCCTCCATCCCTGGTAGTGGTGGGTGTTTGGGCAGAGCAAGGGCAGAGCAAGAGCAGGACAAGGAGGCTCTGCAGCCACCGAGGGCTCTGCTCCCCATTACCTTGTTCTCCCCACACGTTGTGCCGTCCACGGCCGCATCCAGCTTGGAGTGACACGTGTTCCCCACCGTGCACCACAGCGTGTTGCAGACACTCTGCGGAACACACGATTGCACAGGACACGGTTACTGCACCAGCCAACCTGCCAGCACAGACTGAGCTTGTGGGGAAAGGATCAACCTGTGCAAAGCCCCCCACCCCCATAAAGCCCCTCAGAGCCCCACGAGCCCCGGGGTTTATGTGGGGAGGGACCCTGGCTTACGTCCATGTCGTCACAGAAGGTGGAGTAGGGGCCGTACTGCAGCCGGCACTGGTGGCCCACGTCGTAGAGGACACCTGGGGGCACCAAGGGGTAGTCCAGCACCTCCCGGGCAGGGGGGTCATCCAGGCACAGCCCCCAGCCCCGGCTGAAAGAGAGGGGTCAAAGCAGCATCACCACCAGCCCGGCACAGCCGTACGTCCTCCGGGAGCTGCTAATGGAGGAACCACAGCTCATTAATGCCCCGCCAGAACGAGAAGCCACCAGCATTTTTAGCTGGCATGACCCTGGCTCTCCAGCCAACCCTGGAGCCATGCCAGCATGCAGTCAGGCACGTGTGGGTACCTGCTCTCTGGGGTGGGTGTCTGCTCCCAGGGTGACTGCCCCCCAGGCATGGCAGGTGGTGGACAAGGTGAAGGGACAAAGGC